TAGCAACACCCTCCTCCCATTTATCTAGCCGGCATTCCTGAAAAACAAACTCCTTTAAAAAATTGCTAGGACTGTGATTCAAGAAATAAAAGAATATTATTTTAATATTTTTAAAAGTCAAATCCAAAACAAAAATAAATAAAAAAAAGATCTTACCTAGCCTTTTCCAAGCCGAAATGGAGTTCGTTCCTAAGTAGAATTAAAAAATTTTTTCTTTATTTAGGGTTCAACGAACATCATATTATAAGTGCCAATCATTTCTAAATCTATTTTTAGATTTAAAGTTGAATGCTACACAAATTTTCAAACTCAAATTGATCATTCCAGTAATAAGGTAATATACTATAAAAATTTAACCAAATAAAGTTTATATATTACACATTAATATAAAGCAAAAATCTCGATTTTGATCAGAAGGCTGAAAACCTCATTTTCCTAGCAAAGAACTCATATTTGACTCTTTGAATCAAAACTTAATGAATGCACTCGAGCATAAGTAGAAGCCTTTGTGAAAAGCTTTTACGTTAGTTTTCATTTTTTTCTTAGTTTATCATAAGTTGTTAAGGTTCGTTTATTGTTTATTATTTTTTATTTTTTTTGATAAATTTTATAAGTAATTTTTTTATGATCTAGATATTCCTGAAGTGTTTGGGTATTATTGATTTTAAAAACGTATGATACAATTTTTTCTCCTTGAGCTTTTTTTAGAATATTTCTAATAGTGTTGTAATTCTTTGGTTCTATGGTGGATTTAATGTAAATTAATTTCATATATATTATTTTTATATAGAGATAGTCCTATATTAATCCTATTATAATTTATATTCATCACATTCTGGTATGATAAAGTGAACATTAAAATTAATAAATCCACAAGTTATGAATGGACACTATTATTACTTTTCAACTATCATCAGTTACACTGATCAACTTTACATCATAATCAGCCTTTCATTTATATTATATAACAGAATGTTCACTTTGTCTAGTTTTGTTACAGCATGTCCTATTTCTAAAATATTATTTATAATAGAAAATTTTAGAACTAGATTATCATTTTAACTAATTTTTATAATTAATTTATTTTTATTTTATTTTGATTATAGATATTATATAAATAAGTTGAAATTAGTTTTATTTTTATAAATCAATTTTAATATTTTTTAATTTAAGACTTAGATTTAAATTAAATTTAAATAAAACTGATTAAATTAAAAATTTAGTTATAATAAATCTGAAAAAACTAAATTGTAATAAATTTTATAATATAATATAATGTTAAAAAAAATAATGTTTTCTTTGATTTTTTTTAATTTTTATTTAATTATATATTTAAATAATAGATAAAAAATTAAAATAAAACATGATTTATTAAATCTGAAGATAATTAAATAGTTTTGTTAAAAGATATATAATTATTTACATCAAAAAATAATATTTTACTAAATATAGAAGTTATAAAAATAGATATTTTTTATAATATTAAGATAAATATAAAAGTTGCTTTTATTTATATTTTATTACTTTAAAAAATATTATATTAATTTCTAAAGTTTTAATTAAATTTAAATGAAAAATTTATTAGAATTATAAAAAATAATACAATAAAAGAATAGTATCAAAAAATATACAAATATACAAATTTAATTTTCATTATATAAAATTTTTTAAAATATTTAATCTTATATTATTAATAAATCTAATATAAAAGTTTACTAGAAAAATCAAATTCTGAGAATTTTTTAATAAAATTTTGATATTTATTACACTTTGATTTTTGGTATTATTAGATTAAATGTTATAAAATCTTAATTTTAGTTAAAAATTTTTAGAATCTGATTTTTTAGCAAACTTTTCATATATAATATAAATCATAATTTTAGTTAAAATGATAATAAATTAATAGATTTAACAATTATATATTTAATTAGTAAACTTTCAATTTTATTAAATTCAAATTTTTATAATTAATTAAATTTATTAAATCTAGTTTTTAAATCTGAAAAATTAGATTCAATTTTATATTGTAATTAGTTCAAACTGAATTTAAATTAAATTATATTAACTAATTCTAACCTTTAATATAAGCTAAAGTTTTTATATTTAAAAAAAAAAGAATAAATAAATTAAAAGATAATTTAATGATTTTTTATTATTCAATATATCTTTAAATAGTAATGAGAAAATTTCTCAAATATTATTTAACAAATTCTTGAAAAAAAAAAGTATTATTAAACTTTTTCTATCTTAAGAAGTATATTATATTAGCCTTTTATTCTTTTATATTTAGTGATTAAATTGATAAAATTTTAGTAATATTAGTTAAACTATAGGGTATTTTTTTATTATTTGACTTATAATTAGATTTGTAATAATTATAATTATCTAATTATAAATCAGATTTATTATTAGTTTAATTGTTTAAGTTATTTAAATATTTATTAGATTTAGTACTATTATAATAGGTGAGAAAATTAGTTTTATAATTTTGATTAAAAATAGTTAAGATATGTATGTTATTAGTTCAAAAAGATATAATATTTTTAAAATATCTAAAGAATATAAAAAGAAATAATAGTGAACTAAACAGTAAATAATAAAAAAAATCATTTAAATGTATTTAGAAATATATTTTTTTCTTTAAAATCTTTATATAAAAATATGAAAGAAGAGTATTCTATTATTACTAGTTTTAAAAAACTATTTTTAGGAATATAATAGATTATTTTTTAAAAACTCATTATATAGTAGCTACTAAAAGAAATGCAAGTATGATTGGTTACCTTTAAACGGCTATAACTCATTAATCACAAACGCTAAAAATATGATCTTGTACTTGTTTTAAAGCTCAAATCTTGAAGGATATCCTGGCGAAATTTAGTATCAAGTTAATAATTCCAATTTTGAGTAACTTAGTGATCTACATCAAAATTTATTACATAGTAAAGTTCAGATATAGAAAAAATTTTTAAGCATACTAGCTATCATAAAACTGACACTAGATTCAGTATGATGATTCTAACAAGCTAAATTTCGTGGAAATCAGATCAGCTAATCAGGAGTTATCACACAGCAAAGATTGGCAAATCATTATATAAAAGGGGTTTGGCTACTTTTTTTATAATAATTTGCCAATCTTTACTGCGCGATAACTCCTGATCAGCTAGTCCGATTTCTACAAAATATAGCTTGTTAGAATCGTCGCCTCAAGGTGAATCGGAATCCAGTATCAGTTTTATAGTAGCTAGTATGCTTAAAAATTTTATCTATATCCGAACTTTACTATGTAATAAATTTTGATGTAGATCACTAAGTTACTCAAAATTAGAATTATTAACTTGATACTAGATTTCGTCATGATATCCTTTAATATTTGGGCTTTAAAACAAGTACAAGATCATATTTCTAGCATTTGTAGTTGATGAGTTATAGCTGTTCAAAGATAACTAATCACACTTGCGTTTCTTTTGGTAGCCACTGTATTTAATCAGAACTACATCAAATAGTTGAATATTGGAAATATAATATAAATATAATAAAAATATAATAGAAATATAATAGAAAAAAATGGAAAATAATAGAAATATAACGAGAGTATAACAAATATAAAATAATACACTTATAATATATATGTAACTTTAAAATATAATAGTTTACCATCTAGCTGATCTTTGATAATTAATATAATAACCATTTTCGATTATGCTAAATTCTTGACCTATTTCATTTTTTGAATAGATTACATCTCTTTAATACCAAATTTGATATTTAAAAGATTACAGAGGATTATTAATAAAAGAATCACAATGACGAATTTAAAATAAGATAAATTATTAATATTGTAAGAATTAAAAAAACAAACTAAAATTAAGTCTAACAATCAATATATAAGATTATAAAATTATATAATTAAGTTATGAAATAGTTTGGTAATTAGATTATGAAATGATAATATTAACATTATAATACATAAATATGAATAGTCAAGAAAGAACTAAAGAAATAGCTAGTATGCTAAAAAGGATAACTAACAATAAAATAATAAGAACATAAGAAGAGTATATATGCTTTACTTAAGTTATATCAGTCATACTAATCTAAGTGATATATTATGCTTTAATATAATTATATTAAAGTGTAATATATCATTATAAATTATATATTTATTATTAAATATTAAGCAAAATTAAATTATTTATTTATAATAAATACTTTTATTTATTTTTAAATTTGAAATAATATAAGTATTGTTATTATATAAATGTTTTTAATTAATATATTGATAAATTGTTATTCTATTAAGATAAATTAAATAATACCATTTTTAATGAAAAGTGATTGACAATGACTAACCCCTTATTTTTTGAAAGAATAAAAAAAGGAATTTAAAGTAAGGGAGGTATTAATATTGTTAACCAACAATGTAATGAATTTTTTTCTGGAACGTTACAAACATTGATCTCCACCCAAAATCTTCATCAACTTTCATAATTGGAGATTTAAAAATGTGACATCAGAAGTGTGTTTACTATATATTTATTTGTGGGATGGGAACATTCTTCATAGAATAATTTCATTCAGTAATGTTGACGCCGCAAAAAGGCGTTCGTAACCTGTATGAAAATTTATAATATACGCAGCATCATGCATCAATATAAATATGAACGCATGGGATTTACGGGAATACTCGTAAAAAGTGTTAAAGTTGTGTAACATCCTGTGAGTTTAAGTATATCTAATCTAAATGAAGTAATACAAAAAAACTCCATAAACCAACAAGAATAAGAATAATATACCCCAACTTCTTTTCATATTGTTTGTGCAAAAAAAACCTGTAATTAAAAGTACATTTGTATAAAATTATCACGTAATAATATGCTCTAGTATTTTTCTCTCTCCAAGAAATATTTTCAGTATTTGTTTTTTGAAAGTGATATTTAAATATAAAAAAGTTTTCTCACATTATATCTTATTTGGTACAAGAAATAACACTTGTAATAATGACAAACCAAAATCACGAATTAATGGTTGTGAATGTCGAAGGTGAAGTGACAGCTGGAAACGGAAAGCAATATGAAACAACCTTGTCTCCTCAACCGTCTAGCAATGAACCTAAGGAGCAAGACTCTGTAAGCGAAAGTTACGAAATAAGTGATGATAAAAAATCGGTCATTACACCACAATGTAGTATCTGGAAAATTAATGACAATTTAGAAATAAAAAATAAACGAAAATCCGAAATTCCTCACAACCTTGACTTACCCCCAACTCCTACTTTCGCACCTTCTTCCTATTGTGACAATAACTCTCCAACTTCCTCACCATGTTTTTCGTCATATTTTGATATTTATCAAACAACATTTGATACATCTATTTCCTGTTCCGAGGGTAATTTACCTACTGATTCGCCCGACACGCCACCTTTATCTCCACCAGGATCACCTTTAATCGTTGAATCATCTTGTTCACCAAAGTCTCCTGATTCCGTGCTTAATTCCCCATCACTTCCTTTACTTCCTTTACTTAGTAATTTAGAACAACGCCACGTAGAAAATCGTCCCCGAAGAGTTTCTTTCAATAAAACTGTAACATTTATACCTCATATCCCACCTCCACCAAACAAAATTCGAAAAAAGCTCACTAGAGAGGCAAGTTTGAGACAAAAAGATCTGGTTGTCAAAGTTGAAGATTTGGGTAAAGTTAGGTTAGATGGTAAAAATGGTCGTGTAATTAAAATTGTACCTAATGTTTTTCCAGGACCTTTGAATGGAGAATATGGACAATGTGGTGTCATGTTAAAAGATGTTGATGTTTCAATGGAAATTTCTTCACCGAACACTTCAAAAAACTGTGACAGCAATGAAGATGAAGATGAAGATGAAGAAGATGTATTATACATTACGGCTGTACCAATTGTCGAAAAAGATAAAAAGTTGCGTCTTGGAAAACATTTCAAACGATATTATAATAAATTAGTTCAATAAAAGTTAGATTATTTATTATGACATTAACTTTCATATAATTAATTATTAGATTATAAGTATAATCTTGGCATTAGCATTGCATTGGCATTCTTTTTCTCCTTTTTTTTTAAAAAAAATGGAGAGAGACATTATTGAAAAAAGGAAGAATTAAAAAATCCAGCTATTTCTCAGAAATTTTTAAAACATATTATTATTATAATTATTATTATTATATTTATTTTCTTAAGGCGAAGATGTACGCGATATTTACAGAATCCACTATTTTTTTTTTTTTTTTTTTGTACATATGTTCACTCGGATTTTCACATTCTTTTTATTCTTTTCCCAAATCCTTTGTATATTTCGGTGTATAATAAGTTTCATTCTTTAGCTACTCCAAAACAAAAAAAAGTAAATAAAAATAAATAAATAAATAAATGAATATTATGCATCTTTCAGTATTTTCAGTATAAATATATTTTTTTATTGTTTACTCCTTGTTTCCGCAAACGTTTCTTAATCAATCCTAAATTTTTCTTCAATAGGAATCAAACGACGTGTTCTTTTACTCGTCTTTTTCTTTATCCTTTCCGCATAAAACTCATAAGCTAAGGAATGAGTTTCTGGTGGAAAAGGTGAAGGAATCTCACTTCTTCCGGGTCTAGAAACTGGATCTCTTAAAAATACGACAGAACAATTATTAAAATTGACTTCTAGATATTCTGGAATAAATAAGAAAGGTTGCATGAATGGTATTGGCTTGAATGTAAAACCCTTTGGTGTAATCGGATCAATGAGGAAAGGTATAGCATGCGGATTAACACTGATAACATCACCATCTTTAGCTAGATATGATGGAGAAGAAATCTATAAAAATAAAAAAATTTTTTTTTTTTTTTTTTTTTGAAATTTCTAATTGATCATTTTAGTTAAAAACTATTATACCTAAAAATTAATTTCTAAATTACCTTTTTGCCATTTACATTAACTTTTCCGTGAACGACCATTTGTCTAGCCGCCCAAATACTACTAGCAAAACAACTTCTAAATACAATAAAATCCAATCTCCTTTCCAGACTAGCATAAGTTAAAACTGAAACCGGAGGATGTTTCGCTTCCTCTTTACCGCTTAAACTCGTAGATAATTTTGGTTCAAATAATCTACGAAATTGTCGTTCATTTAGTTGAGCTCCATGATAAGCTCTTGTATCCTTTTTTGCTTGCCATTTTTGTTGAAATAAAGTACGATTTTGTAATCTTGGTGGATAATTGCCACGTTGATGAATAATGAATAAATTTTTTTTGGACCATGACATTCGAATTAGACCTCGTGAAAAACTATCTTTGGGTTTACGCATAATTAGATTATCAAAAAAATAAAAAAAAAATTTTTTTGCCTATATTCAGAAGTTGTAGCTGTCACGTGACTTCCAGTAAATCTCAAAATATTGATTCGAGCCTTTTTTTTTTTTTTTTTTTTATATTCACTCTTTAATAAAAAAAAATAAATAAATAAAACTTGTGATATTGAGATATATGTATTTTCATATATTTTTTGATAAAGTAATTTTTCAAAACTCTGTAAATCCCGTGATCATACAAACAGAAATAAAATTATAAAAATTAGCTTTTTTTAGTATCAAGTACTTTCCGTATATCGCCATTACCATGACTGAAAAATTAATGGAATGAAATATTAATCATTAATATCCCCGTTTTACTAATTGTTCGCCCACCTGAAATCGTACTGGTAATTTTATAACGATGAATTAATTTAACTCAAAATTGATAAATAATTGATATTTTTAGAATATAATTTACTAATAAATTATTAAAGACTAAATGTAAAAGATATTAATAACTATTAATGGTTAAAAAAGCCTAGTTAAAAACATCTTGAAAACGGGCATTCACTAAATATTGGTTATTGTTATTATTAGGACGTAAATAATGATTTATATAATTTGAGGAATTTTGTAAAGGATGCATATTATAATTTCGAATTTGTTGCTTGATCCATTAATTTCTTGTTTTTGAATTTTAAAATCTTGATGTAAGTTTGTAGATAATTTGGTATTTATATCATTGCTCTGTATTTTGTTATTTTGATAAAATAAAAAATTTTTTTAAATTTCTATATTTTTAGAGGTTTTAGATGTTAAATATGGATTATGGATTATGGATTATTTAGAAGCTTAGGGCAATATTAAATTGTGTAAATTTTTTATAGTGAAGGAAAAAAAAATGATTACTGAGAAAATTTATTTTATTATCACGGGAGTTAAAAAAACCATGAAATATATTAGTCATTAAATGACACTCAATTAGATTTTTGCTGGCGTATCACCAACTTTTGTAGGTATATAACTCATTTGTTTTTGATATGTATCGATAGTAGATGGTAACGTAAAATCTTTAATTTCTTTAAAATAATGATTTAATAAAGCATTCTTTGCTGCCTATATGAACCGTGAAAAAAAAATTCAATTAAAAATTTTTACACAGTGATTTTATGGATAAAACTAGTAATAATTAATTACTCTGTGTTCAGCCATTTTAATGCTACTTCCAAAACCTTCAGCTAATTTTTCGGTACCTGAATATGTACCGATAACGAAAATAGGTTCTTTTGTTTTACGACCGGCTTCATGTAATAATCTATAATATGTTGAAAAATGAATATATTATATTAAATACTCAATATAAAGGACCTAACAATATAAGGAATATATAAATGCCTAGATATAGGTTGTTCCCGTTCAAGACGTTTCATCAGCGCAGATAAATGTCTCTTCGGTTCTTTAACATCATATAATTTTTGAATGGCAAATTCTCTTGATAATAAGTGATCGTGAACAAATGTTTGTGCGGAATTTGGTCCCTAATAATAGAATAAAAATCAATTGATAATTTCAAATAAGATTGTACTGTTTTTACCGCTAACTTACCTTGTCCAAATACAATGCGCCAACAATAGCTTGTACGGCTTGTGCCACAACACGACCTATCGTATAAGTAACTTTCCGTGATTTATACGCAACTTGGGATTCATTTGTATCCGTAGATTCCGATTGTCCATCATTTTCAGGAGTGCTAAATACATCTGTCGACTAAATGAACTTTAATTTGATAAAAAAAAAACAAAAACAAATCATACAGAGGATAAAAGGTCTGGCGAACCAACCTTGTTCCACCTCACAACATAATTTAATCCAATCTCGTGACCAAGTGTCGCTAGTGTACTTCTCCCATTATAAACCTCCACCACATCTTTCAAATAATTTGTATGTAATAGTGGATACTTTATGTGAAAATATTCTGTAAGGAACAACTGTATTGCGCAATTCCCTAATTAAAAAATAAAATTATATTAATTTGTTGAATTTATTTCAGTACACAATTTCTAAAGATAAATATACCTAGTTCTTTAAAACTTTTGTTTGATGGTAAATTAGTATCTGTAAAACTTTTGTGCGTGACGGCTTGTAATAATATTTTTGGGTCAGAAAAATCAAGATGCATACGCGCCGCAAAAGCGTATAATGCTGGTGTTATTACATCTTTTTGATTATCGTTTTGTGTAATCTCCTCTTTTTGCTCTAATTCTTCATTATATATCGTGCTAACATCTGAAAGAGAACGAGTTCTATCAAAATATATACGTTGTGAAAATAATGATAAAGTATTTCTATTGAAAATTGAGAATCTTTTAACCATCGAAAACATTTTTTTTATTCAAAGATTGATTTTTTAAATATTTAATTAAATTATTTAACAGATTAACCATAACTTTTTGTAATAAAAAAAATTGATTATTAAATCATTCTTTTTTTTTATTAACTAAAACATTTCAAACAGAAAAATTTTTTAAGGAAATGGTGAAAAAAAATTTCGAAGATAATCTAATCCTTCACGTGGTATTTTTTTATGATCGACCCATGTCGATTTTAGGGGGGAAAAATAAAAAACGAGTTCATGCTAATTCTGGCCTGGAAATCATATTTGGTAAAATTGAATTATTGATTTTTTCCCATGCCTGCCTTTATACACTGTAAATTGATATTTTCTTGAGTGGTATTAAATCAACAATATTTTTTACTTTAAAGCTGACGTGTTATATAAATTATTATTATTATTATTTTTTTTTTTTAACAAATATTAATTGTTTTATTTTGATATTTAAAAAAAAAAAATTACTAATGGAAAAGTACATTTATAAAAATAAGTAACATTACAAATCAAACTACTTTTTAAAATAAAAATTAAGCCAAATATCTAAGTATTGATGAATCCTCAGTATCTCTTTCTAAATATTCACGCTCTATCAGAGATTCTACACGTTTCTTAATATCTGATACCTAATATAAAGAAATAAATTATTTAAATTTCGCAATTTTAGATCATATTTGATTGTTTAAAATTTTAATAAGTTTACCTGTGCTTTAAACTTCAATTGTGACAACAATTCTGAAATTAACTCATTGTGACTAAGTGACTTTCGCATTTTCATTATTCGGACTAATGCGGCATCCACTTGGTATTGACGATCCAAGAAGACACGCTCATTAGTTTCTTGATTTTCTTCCAACTATTCAATGGATGAAATAAAAGTTAGAATAAGGAGAAATATATAAAAATTCTGACGGTTCTCCTTCATTTACCGTTTCTTTCATTTGAATAGCATTGACTTTAATACGGATTAATTTGACATCAAAATTTTCGTCCACGATAAATTCATCAGTGGTGTTCACATCACGTCCCTTGGGAAATTTTTTGAGGACACGAACTTTACCACAAGCTAGTGATTGTAATGTACGATCAAGCTCTTTTTTCTCTAAATGACCGAATAAATTTATATTAATGATCATTCTAAAAACGTAATCAAGCGAATAATTCCTAGATCACAAACCAATTCCCGTTTGTTCTTTAATATGCTCGTATGAGATTTTTTCTTTTTGTTTCAAGTCATTAAACTGCAATAACACTACTGCTTGGAATAAGCTTACTACTAATTCCTTATTACCCTATAAAATAATTGAATAAACAAATTTAATGAATAATTTAAATTAAACTTGAAAAAAAAAACATTAATATTTATTACTTTTTGAAACTCTGCTGCTAATAAGCAATGACCTAAAGAATTTTGCCACTTTAAATTTCGACCTCCATGTTTGCTAAGATAAAACTCTTTAAATACTTCTTGACAATCCGCCATCTAATAGAAAAAAAATGTGTCGATGAGTTTGTTATAATAGAAAATAACAACATTATTTAGTAGATATCATATAACTCACAACAGGTGGCAGGATGAGAGGCGCTGGCGTATATGTAGGCCAAAATCCTTGGGTCAGTACATTAACATAAAGATCAATTTTTATATTTGTTCTTAGATTTTCTGAGATTCTCGAGTGCTGAAAACGATAATTTATGTTAATATATACTTGCATTCAAAATTTATATTACAGGAGGAATCGTATTTAAGCGTACGTAAAAGGAAGTCATAAAATCCCGAGAGAGATCAATGTCTTTAAACATGCCCTCTAGTTTGCTCGTGAATGCCGGTCCACATTCTGTTAAAAAAAATAAATTCAATTTTAAACACGAGAATTTTTAATAAGCAAAAAAAAACATAAATTAGACAGGTCAATTGAATTTACCTTTTCTCAATTTGGACAACATGCTCTTCTCATAGTCGAATGATGCACTTTTGTTAAGCAAAAGACGTTTAGCAAGATCACGCTTATAAAAAGCTTCGAATATATCCTTCCCTATTAAAGAAGGAATAGAATTGTGTGAAATTCAAATCATTAACTATAGAGTTAAATAACAAAGTAAAATAGTACCTTGAATATATCTGAACAAAACCAGCACTTCATCCAACGTCTTTTCGATTTCTGAATCATCCATACGTTTATTACCAAGTTTTAGTTTCAAATCGACGTATTTAGCTAGTAAATAATTAAATAACATGTTAAAGCATGTTAAAGCTTGCCAATATATAGTAACAAGAAGGGGAATATCCTTGATTTTACCAATAAGTTCAGCAGGCTTATTTTGACGTTGATTGATGAACACTTCAAAACTCTCTTTTACAGTATGTGCAAAGTTATAATTTCTATCAAATGATATGGCGACAATACTATCCATTTTTTTCTTCAGTGCAAGTAAATCTTCAACCATGGTCGACTCTTGATCAATATTGTTAACTATTCCAGAACCAGTTTTCTTTAAATAGAATAAGTCATTTAATACTTTCGTTTGTATTAATTCTAATAAATTGATATAATCAAATATCTAACCTTTATATAACTTCCAAAGTAAAGACGCAGACGATCAAGAGCGTTGACTCTAGCTAAAAGATCGTATAACCTTCCTAATTCTTGTATATGCTCATCTGAATTTTGATCTTCCATCATGTCATTGAAACCTAAGTTACAAAAGAAAAAATTTAATGCTTTTATATTATAATTCACAAATAAAAACACGATCCTAACCTTTATCCAAAAGAGCATCGACATGTCTCTTTATTAATTCATCATCCACAACTTTTGTTAGTGGATTTTTCGTTTTCCAATCCAAATATTGAGAAATTCTTTCACTTTCCTCCTTCAAACGTTTCTTTACATGTTTTAGATATCTTGGAACGGGGTACTCATTTATAAGACGCAATCCTTCATGATGATAATAACTACGGGTTTCCGACAAAAATGGATTTTCAAAACTAGGACAATAAGTGCCAAGGTCAATAAACATGTGAATAAGGGAATGCAAAAGACTACGGTCGACGGAATCTCCGTTTCTATGATCAAAAATAAACAGAACGTAAATATGTATATGTAAAGAGTTTAGTAATGAATAAAGATTGGCATTTAGTACGAGTAAGAACCTTCATATATTTTTTTCTCTTTTACCTTTCACGTCTGATGAATGTAATTAAACCATTTATAGTCTTCTTTTTTATATCACCTGCTGACGATGACATAATTTGTTTTTTGAAAATTTCAAGTCCCTTATCCCTAAATTGATCGAATAATGACAATCAATACTATGATAGAATATCGAAAGAGGTAAAGCATTTAGTACGGGCTTTACATGCTAACCATATTGAAATGACTCCAGATGTCTGAAGCACATAAGTTCGATCAAGATATAAAAATATACTTCGGATAAGACCCTACATTAATCATTCGGTCAGTTGAATAATAACATTGGGAAACAAGGTCAAGTTGAACTAATAAAGTATACCATTTGTTCACAATGTGCCATCCAACATTTATTTACAACTATGAGAAAGGTATCGTTCTCATTTAAATTACTGAAAATAAAAATATATAAGAAACTGTTATCATACATTTAAGTAAAAGTAAATCCAAAGAAGTAAATGATTTAAGACTTACCTCACAAGCTTGGTCTTTTCCTCTTTCAAATGTTCTTCGATCTCACCCGCTAATCTATTATAAAGCGACGAAGCCATTTTATGCAAACAAAGATTCTCACAAGCTTTATAAAGTTCTTCAAGGCTAGTACCAATGCGTTGACAATTAAAGATAGCTTGAACTGCTGTCCGAAGCTTTGACCATGTCTCTTCTTCATAATTAGCTGGTAACTTTGGTTTATCTATTAAAATTAATAATTCTTATTAAAATTTTCATAATATCCTTATGATTCAAATTTCATACCGTTCAACTCAAACTTACCTTTTAGACCTTTAATAACTAACTTTTTGATTGGTTGCTTTTGATGTCCTTGTCGCACTGCATCATTTGGTCTATCGGGAATTGGTTTATGTGAAGGAAAAATCAAATCTTTACCATGATTAACAAGATCATATTTTTTCGAAGTTTTTCCTATAAAATTATCATATGAAGAACTACTAGACGCGGCAGCAGCGGCAGCAGTAGCAGATGATGATGAACTCGGCATTGGAGTATAAGTAGGATTATCTAAACGAGTACGCTTTATTGCTCCACCACGTTCTTCATCATTATTATTATTATTGTTAAAATTGATGTTGGCGATACGATTTATATTGGAACGTGAAGTCTTATCAATAGTGTTTTGACGTGAACGTGAGCTCATCCTTTTTTTTTTTTTGATGGGTTCTGTTATAATGCGTTTCTAGCCGTTATGACTACAAACTTTTAAATAAATGAAAGAACGGTCAGAAACTAACAAAAGTATTAGTACGCGACGAATAAACTTCACAGATAAATGGAAACGGCGTTGTATTACGTGGTTGAGAAAGAGTGTTTCTAAGCACGTGCAATAGTGAGAACCACCGTAAATTTTGTTCCAGGCAAAAAGATCGAGACCTAAATGTTGGAGAAAAGCATACGTGTCGATTGGTATAAGAGTTTATACTTGGATCAAAAGGTACTCGAAAATGGTCAATAAAAACTCACAATATTTTTATAATAAATGTTTTATTTAAACGTTTTTACTCTTGAAAGCCCAATGGATAAATTAATTTAAGAACTCTTTTTTATTTGTAAGAAACGTAAATTACTCCAACTTTTTCGTAGACCGTCCGTCATATCATGACCTGAACGATCTACATAAATTTTATTGGTTGAATCTTGTGTAATCAATTTAATTAAATTAAATAGCGAATTTCAGATTTCTTTCTTTTCAACTTTTCGCATCTATCCTAATGGTAAGTTTTATCAATAAATTCGTAATAGCCGTCTTCTTCGGATAACAATACTGAATCATTTTTGAACCTTAATATAGGCCAAACGAACAAAGAAGGTTAATTTTAATAAATCATTTTTAATTTATTAAGGAAAAATAACGACGTGATTTTTTTGATTTCAATTACGAATAGGTTGGAGTTGTCGGTAAATATGGTACCCGTTATGGTGCCTCATTGAGGAAACAAATCAAAAAAATGGAAATCACACAACATGCAAAATATACCTGTAATTTTTGTGGCAAGGTACGTGATATAATGCCTCGAGGTTTTCTTTTTTTGTTTTTTTTTTTTTTTTTAAAAAAAAAAAGAAAAGAATTAGATCTTACTACTTGAATTGACTTCACAAATAACCGACTTAAAACATATTTAAATTAGGATACTGTTAAGAGAAAAGCCGTAGGTATCTGGCATTGTCGTGCATGTAAAAAAGTATTAGCAGGTGGTGCATGGACCGTTTCGTAAGTCATCATAATTCTTTTAATTCTCATTCCTTTATTCATTGAAAAAAAATTCATCTCTCACATTTCCCATTGATTTCAAATAGAACCACCACAGCCGCTACAGTTCGTTCAACTGTTCGTCGTCTTCGAGAAATAATGGAATCTTAATGAGATTACAAAAACTTTTATTTTTTTCATAACAATAGCAGTTAATTATTTTGTATTTGCACGATAATTATAATAAAATGGATATCGAAAGATTATTTTATTAATCAGAACATATTGAATGCTATGCAAAAGAATTTATTTATTTTAAAATGATTTTTGTCTATTCGTATATCTATGATACACTATTCAGACGATATGGTTTAACTTCACTTTCACGTGACGTTGCAACGGTATCCGTCTTCCATATCTCCTCAGGTGGTGGGTCGGGTCTAAATGAGACACTAGATGAAGGTATTCCTTCAACGACCCTTCTCGTGATTATGGATTGTTGAATAGGTTGCTGTTTTTGTCGGAACGTTTGTCGTTGTTTTTGACTTGTGGTGGTATTTTGAATATTATTAATAAGTGGTTTCTTTAGTAAAGGTTTTAACAATTTTTCAAATATTAAGGTGGCACCTTTTGAACGATCATTTTGTGCCCAATATAGAAATATCAACTTAAAAAAATTGTATCCCGGAAATGTTTCTAACAACCAATTTGACCAATTATCAGCTACTTGTAACCATCCATACACTACCCAATAAGTTAGCCATTGCTTTTGTTCATTAAAAGCTATAATTGATGAATTTGAAGCTTCCCCTTTCTCATTATCATTTGTTGAAAGATCAATTGCTTGAATTGATTTATATGCAGGATATACCACACCAACTAAATTACATAAAAGATAAACAGATTTCTTATACATGCTCCTAACCATCATTCCCGAAAAGATCATTAAAGCCGCAAATAAATAGACTTGCGGAATCCCCAGTTGAACAAACATTTGGAATAACCATATTTTAGAGATTTTATTTTCGAAAAATGATATTCTAGAAACAACTTCTTGTCGAATGAAATTTGTTATTGGCGTAAGATTTAAAGGACTATTTAATTCGAGATTTTGTAAAACTTTCTCAACTGTTGCAGTCGTTGGTAACCTCGGTTCTTCGCCAATTTCTTCCGAACCTTCATTCGAAACCATTTTCTCGTATGAGGAAATTTTTTTATAGTTTGTTTATTTTTTTTTTTTTATTTATTTATTACCACATTTTCAAATAGATAATCTGCAATCTCACGTGAGCTTAAAAAGCTAAAATTATGTTGATCTTTAGCGTGACGCGCGGTAACTATCATTGCTTATAAAAGGTGGTTTCAGATATCTTTTATATCTTTTATATATTTTGTGTTGAAGAAGTTGAAATGTCGTATATGCAGCCTCACATTGGTATTTTTAGTGCAGCTCCGTTTTTTTACTCACAACAGCCCGGTCAACCAACCTTTATTAGTTCTCTACCTGAAACCAGGTTAAATGGGTCATTTCAGAATACGAAAAAAAATAACTCTGTAACCCAAACAATAGAGACTAAGCAAACTGTGGTTGATAGGGAGATCATAGTTTTATCTTCAGATTCTGAATCAGATACTGAAACTAGAAGTCCTGTTGTGTCTAGAAAAGCGAAAGGTAAAGAAAAAGCAGATGTTGATGATTTTAATAAAAATTTGGAGGATTCCGCATCTATTATAGTAGATCAAACTCAAACTTCAAATATGGATCTTATGCCAAATTCTACTTCAACATTCACGCGTAAAAATAGAGCTTATACTAGCAAAAATCTTCTTGATGGTTATGATTTAATGTCAAATATGGAAAACCCTCCATTCTTCCAAATGGTTAACCCGGTTAGGGTTTTTTTGTACATATTGGAAGATCATAATACCATTATTGAGTTATTTGACATCATAATCGACTTTGCTCGAATTTATCTTGAGATTTATAGTGAAGATAATCGAAATGTTTTAAACTTATACGATCCTCAAACTCTTATTCCTGATTTGATCTATTGCTTAAAGTCAAAAATGAAAGGTAACTTTATTAAAGTCACAAACTTTTTTAATTTTTGTAAATTTATGGATTAAATGATAATGATAATGATAATAACTTTGTATTTAGTTAATTTCTACGTGAATACATCGGAAAGATTTAAGAAGGTCGAACTGCTTGCGCGAAAGGCTATTGAAGTGATTGAACAATTAAAAGAAACAGGTTGAAAATTTATGCCTAGGGGATCGGTTTCCTTTTATACTTTACATTTTCTTTATATTTAAAGATGACCTATTGAGATGATGATTGTTATATCATTATTATTTGTAATTATTATTTATATTATAGACGAGATGAAAAGGGCAGCATTTTATAAGAAAGTTTATGAAAGAAAAAGAAAAAATGATGAAGGAGAGAATTCACAAGAGAAACGAAGAAAGCAGGATCATGATAGTTCTGAAGATGAAAACCGATCACAGGAAGTAAGAAAAGAACGCGCAATGGAAATGGTAAAAATAAAGTGGTTAGAGATGGAACAACAAAGAAAGCTTCAAGGAAATGTGAATAGAGTTCCACCATCCAAGAGACTTAAACATCCATCTATGCCATCATCACGTTCGAAGTTCACTTCATGTGATATCCTCTTTTCTCAGAAAAGAAAGAAAACTAATGATAATTATGATGATTTAGTGGAATTATTGTCTGAACCTTTACATGAACTGATTACAGCTCATACTGTGTATGGATTATTTGAGAATTTTACTCCCTTTCAACTGAGTGAAACCGTTGACAAATGTAAAGTCCGTAGTATATTCAAATTTAATAATCCTGAAAGAAGAGAGTACTGTAAACTATTGTATCATCAATACATCAAAACTAATATGGAAAGTACAACTAAATCTCTCGGGAGTTGGATCAATTCTTTAATATTCGAAAGCATTAAGTTTGGTCATGTCAGTGATAAAGCACATCTCCACAACTTTATGCATAGGCAAACACCTTGATATAATCTGTATGTAAGCAAAATTATCTATGATCGTTTATAATATTTGATATATAGTAACTATTTATCTAATTTGTTTCAATAACCAAATTTAGATTCTTAATAAGATAGGAAGACTTAGATGTCCCCCTCGTATGCTGGGGGGGTTTTTTTTTTTAAAAAAAAAAGTATCCTTTTCTCCATTTGAATCTCTTTGTTTTTACTTTTGAATTTTTTTCCTCACAACTTTCTAAAAAGGAATAAATAGCAACTCTTTATGTTCTTTGTATATAAAATCATATTCTTTTATAATACTGTATTTTATCACGCTATGTATTACTGCGCCCTTGTAACAACAGAAAAGTGATAAATCAAGCATTTTTTTTTTTCGTTCACATCGGGGCTTTGTCTTATTAATATGTATGCATTATGCAGGTATCGGAAAAATAAATATATGCATTTATGCCAATTTCGTATACATATTGTAATAGCGCTTTATTGCACGGACGAAATTAACCACATATTTTGAATTCAAAGTGATAGACTGAAGAATTATTCACGCTCATGTAATTTTTTTTATGTATATGAATGTATTTAATACGGGACATATATGAAAAAGGCAGAATCGAATCCTACTCATCCCAATTCCAAATGCGTGCTCCAATCGCGAGAGGATCATAGTTGCCTTAGTAAAATCGAAGACCACAAAATTCCGATCTAGCAAAAGTTTATCGATCAACTGTGCGAAGTACTTTAAAAATGATCATAAATCTTTCGAAATATTTTGACCGTTAATATTGCATAAAAGTCACAAATCATAATTCTTGTAAAATACTATAAATATTATGTAACTTTATGATAATACTTTCATAAATTACAAACCGTAAATCTTTTACAATATTTCATATTAAAAATATTCCTGATGTATATATATCTTATCTATTTTTGACTAAACATATCTTGGTATTTCATTATATATAATGTCATAATGCATAATATACTTGGATAATACTTTTCTAATAGGTAACCTATTTACTTCATATTTACCGATAGTAATAATACTAAATACATAAAAAATATTAGTATTACTTTGATTAATAAGCAAAAGCAATTATAAATATTATAAGTATCAAACCTTTCTTTGATATTATAATACCTAAAAAATACCTTTATATATGGTTAAAATTAGTTTAGTAAAAATATTATCAAATGCTTTCTAAAGCAGTAATGGGTTTTTAAATATATTTTTTTGATTTTAAATATTTTAAATAAGGTTTAAATATAAGAAAATATATCTAAACCCTATATAAAACCTGTTAAAAATTATCTAAAATTGTTTAAAATTATCATTAAAACTATTAGTAACTTTTACTTTAAGAATATTAAGTAAAAAAAAAAAAGGTATCTAAAGCTCTTATTATAAATCTAAAACTTAATTTTTAAATTATTTATTATTAAATTAAATTATATTTACATGAAAATTTATAATTATATGAATCAAAATATGAGCTTATACAGTCAACTCTTGGTATAGCAAATTCTTGATATAACGAATTTTTTGAACAAATATAATAAAAATACTCTTATTGTAGCGAATTAGTCAATTAAATCTCTTAAAATCTTCACTATAGCCTTATAGCAAAGTTGAGGTCTAAGACATAGAGTTCGTTATAACAAGAGTTGACTGTACATGTTATTTTTATAAAGCTCTAAAAAATATCTATATATATTAATACATAGAATCAATTTAATTAGTATATTATTTTCTAATTGATTCTATTTATAAAATTATGTAATTGTACTTAATCCTTATTAAGTAGTAAACTTTTATATATATATATTTATTTATTTCTAGTAAAAATATTTTTAATACTTAATTTACTTTTGATTGTATTATATTAATAAAAAAAGTAAAATTATTTTTTACTATTGATTAATAATAAATATATTTTAAAAAAAATAAATTGTATTATTATCTTTTATTACAAATGATTATAAAATATTAAATTTTTTATTTTTAATATTTATAATTTAAATTAATTTAAATAAATAAAAATTATTATAAAATATAAAAAATTAATTTAGTAACAAATCTATTTATAATATTCTAAAAATCTAATCTCTTATATCATTTAATTTTACATATTTATTATTATCTAACTTATAATAAACAAATTAACAATTAATTAATAGTAAAATTTAACTCTAATTATTCATTAAATTTGAAAAAAACTTGAATAAAATAATAAATTTTATAAATAATAAAATAAATATCACATGTTTTATATAAAAAATTATTTAAAATACTTGTTTACAAATTGAGTCACTAAGTCAGAAAGTTTAAAAACATTATTAATTTAACAAACAAATAAAAATAATCATTTAAATAGAAAGTTAATTTTTCAAATTATTAATAATAAAATTTCTATATTAATTACTAATTTATTATAAAAAATTAAATAATAATTATTTTATCTATCTATAATATTCACATTACAGTTAACTCTTAATATAACGAACTCTTAATATAACAAATTTTTTGAACAAATATAATAAAAATACTCTTGTTATAACAAATTAGCAATTAAATTTCTTAAAATTTCACTATAGCCTTATAGCGAAGTTGAGTCTAAAACATAGAGTTCATTTTAATAAAAATTGATTATATAAATAGAATAATTACAGTTAACTCTTTCTATAATAAATTTTGATATAACAAATTTATAATACAATAAATCTTTAGTATAAAAAGATTTTATTATATAGAAAAATTTTATTATATTGAATTATACTAGATAAATATTGTATAATATTTAACGAATTAAAGTGTATTAATATACTATATATAAATAATTCTTTTTATAACAAATTTATTTATAACAAATTTTTTTAGAAATATAAAAATTAAGAATAAATTAATTTAACTATAAAGAATAATTTAATATTTATTTTTTTTTTCAAATATATTGTATATTCTTTAATATTAAATGAATTAATAAATAAATTTTTGTATTTTATTTTACTTTTTTATTTAAAATATCAAGTGTTCTATTTTAATTTTTTTATTACATATTTTTTTAAAATATCAAAAAGAAAGTTAATTTCAATTTTATTAAGATTCTTAGAAAATATAAATCCTTTATTGTAGTTTAAAAAAAAAGTTTATTCAAAAAAATTAGCTTCACTCTTTTTAAAAAATAAAGGTTTATAAATATTAGTAAAATATAATTTGTAATATTTTAAAAATAAAAAGACTATTAGTTTATTATAGATTTTAATTCATAATTTGCTGATTTAAAATATAAAAAAATCATTACTTTTCTTATCATTGAAAAAGCATTAACCATTTAAATATAAAATATTTTTCAAATAAGCTTTATTATAACTAATAATATTCTTTTAATAAAGATTTTGAAATTGTTTTTAAAGAAAATAAGTTTAAAGATTTCAATTAGTAAATAAATAATTTTAAGAATAGCATAATTTAAAATAAAATAATATATATAATAAAATTGCAAATATGTAACTTAAAGATCTTAATATAATGTAAAAAGTCTTTGTTAAATATTAAAAGATTATAATTTTAAAGATATTTTTAATTATGATAAAATAGTTTATTTTAAAGAATTAAAATCTATAAAAAAAAAAAAATAGTTAAAGAATTATGTATTCATTCTATTTACTTATAATATGATTGAAAATGAAAAGTTACCTCTTTTATTTATATATAATAAGAAATAATTTTATATATTACTTAATATTAAAAAAATAATTAATAGGAAATATTATTAATCATATTATTAAATTTTGATTTCTGAAGTTTTTAGTAATATAAATATTTATATTATCTGATTTTATTATAGCATATTCTATATATATATATATATTTTTTTAAAAAAAATTATTTTAATAAAAATTAAAAAATTTTTAATTAATTTTCTTTTTTAAAAAAAAATTTTATATTAATTGTATAATATAAGTAAAGTTAATATACAAAATAAAATTAAATTTACTAATTCATTTTATAAAATATTATGAAATTAAAGTTTTAATAAGTATTAAAAAATATTAATAAAATGAAAATTTTATTAAACAAAAAATTATAATTTTTTAAAAAAAAATAGGTTTTCTATAAATATAAATAAAATACTTATAAATGTTAATTTTTAATTAAAATTTTGATTTTAATTTAAAAGTTATATATCGATTAAAATAAAAATTTAACCAAAATTTAAATAAAAGTATAAGTATAATCTTCAGAATATAATTTAATTAAACATTTTTTATATTTAAAATTTATAAAAATATACTTAATAATAAAATAGAAAGTAATATATAATTTATTTTTTTTTCTTTAATTTATTACTTAAACATTATTTATTTTTAATTATAACCATTTTTAATCATATTTTTTAATTATATATATATTTTAATTTTTAATTATTTTATTATAAAATAAATAATTTCTTATATTATGCAAATGTAAAAAATAATCTAAATAATAACTTAGTAATAAATTTATTATTATAAACATTAAAAAGATATCAAATATTATTAAAAGAAAAAGTGAAAAAGAATAAAAAGTTAATGAAAAAGATACAAATTTAAGAAATATAGAATTAAATATTACAATTATTATAATATAATTAATATTTAAAGAAATATTTAGATAATATAAATAAAATTAATATTCAAATAATACAAATAAAGAAATCTCAGATAATAATAATAATATAATAAAGATACAATGTTTTAAGTAATAAATGTAATATAACGAAATTTTAAGTAAAAGATATTTATTATAAAGAGCCTAAAGCTTTTGCATTTAAATCATTATATTTTATTTAAATTTTTAATATAATAAGTATGAAGTATTATATAATAGAACCAAAATATAATAATTAATTAGTGCCAATCAAAATGTTTGATAAAAATGTACATCTATTTTCTTTTCTTTGAATCATGAATTCAAACCAAAACATTTCTTCGGGACCAATATTTTGTCATAGATGTGGTACTTTAATTATAAATACTGGTAAAGATGTTTTAGAATGTTCAGCATGCAATGCGATAAAAGACGCGGCAGGTAATAATTTTATTAATTACAAAACGTATTTAAAATAAAATTCAAATGGTTTTTTTTTTAGAATATGAAAATGTAACGGTTGTAACGAGGAGCGATCCAAAGTCGTTCCCATCAAAATTACGATTACGCCGTTCCAGAATTCAACAATCGGATAGATACAAAGAAGAAAAGGCTACAGTACGTCAATTACATCCCTTTCTAAGTAGAAATTCCAACGCGTCAATTTACTTTTTTCACCATCTTTTGTATCTAGATTAAGGAGAAATGTCCAAAATGTGGAAACGAAGAAATGAATTATCATACAATGCAATTAAGGTCGGCTGATGAAGGACAAACGATTTTTTATCATTGTGTAAAGTGTGGGTAAGTGTAGAAAACGAATTCCAAGGTTGCGGTAAAAAAGAAGTTTCAATAATAATTTTGACTTTTACTTTTAGGTATAAGTTTTCAATTAATTCTTGAGGATCATATCAATTTATTTATTATAAATGTAAATCCAGTAAGATACAAGATAAACACGAATCAAGGTCATTTAACCAGTAAATGTTGATACTATAAAAATAAAATGATTAAAACTATTCTACCAAGTTATCCGTGTTAAAAAAAAATCGACTAAAGTGAAGGTAGATTAAAATACGCTCTTTTTATTCCTTTGGAACACTAACGAACATGGATACAAGTGTAGCAGCTCCCTTACGTAACATCTAAAGAAATAAAGGAAAGAAGAGATTTAATAAACTAAGTTTAACAGAGAGAATTCGAAGCTTGCCCGATTTACTTACTCCTTCTTTCCCGATTGGATTTCCATACCAAAGGTCGGTGTGTCTAATGATCTTTTTGTTTTCAGGGTTGAATTCCAATTTGATTTGGCTGTTTATCTTCATAGCGCGACCAACGAAGGGAAGAACATACTTTTGTTCTAATTCAAATCTTAAGTAATTTGGAGTATTTTCTAAAATCTTGCAGGATTGGGTAGTGGATTTTACGAATACTTTTGGCAATCCATAGAATTGCGCTTTCAAATTCTGCAACCCGGCAGCATAAATAAGTGGGTCTTCAAATATCGCATCATCGTCATAATGCTTAAAACATTCTTTTGTTGGCTTGCAACAATACAAATCCACAATATGATTGAAGATTTCTTCCCTATCAACATCTAATTTAATGACATCCTTGCCTAAATTATCATTCGGATGAATTTTCGTAACCTCTCTTTCTTCATGATCGCCAACAGGTTCTATCATTGATGCATAAGAAGAAACTTGATTTCCAATTGAAGAGGAAAGGTTATATATATAAGCTGTACCATCATTAAAGGTCGAAGAAACGGTGGATCTGGTGTTACTCAAACTGGAATAAATAGCAAAATATTTGTCGTTGAATGTACTATAAATAGTTGAATAATTATCGGTGAGTTTATCGGAAAGATTTGGATAATTATCGTGGATTTTATTGGTAATCGTTGTAGAAGTGGAGTGGAGGGTGGATGATAGTGATTGAACGGTTTCAGAGATCATTTTGAATCCTATTTAATATAACGTCTATTAAATTTTTTAAATGTGAGAAATTTTTTTTTAAAATAAATGACGTTAATTCATGAAGCGATGGGTCTCGAGAAAAATTATAAAAAACCCAGGCCCTTTTATATTTTCAAGTTTTATCCTATGTGAAATTAGCCCCTTGGCAAAATACTCTAAATATTAAATATGGATCTACAATCATGGGATTCTAATTCATTAACACGAGCCGATTCATGTCATTTGCTTTCATGTTATTGTAATGATGCTTTAAATAAAGTTAGATTCCATTAGAACCGGCAATTCATCATAAAATGAATTAAATTAGATACATTTAGTGTGATTGAAAATTTCAATTTATCACAAGGTAACTATCTATAATAGTTTAATTTTCAAAAGGCTTAACTCTCAAGAATTTCTTTTTAAATTTAAAATTGTGACAATTTTGGTGTCTTAAATAAAATGTTGTTTTTGCCATTTTCAAAACACATGATCGACGACAAATATTTGCTGATTAATTTTCATTAATTTTCACGATCAAAGAAAAAAAAGTGTTTGTATTGAAAAATTGCCGGCCTTTAACTTTTTTTATATTATACAAAATAAAGTTAAAATATTTAAACTCAAAACCCTAATTCTTTTATTTTTTCCTTTACCAGTTAATGAAAAAAATTTTTCGTTGATGTCATTATGATGCTAGAGAAATTTTTTTTAATTAATGTAAGCGCTACTCAGGGTATCCAATCAAAGTTTTACGATGATCTTAATTTCCCGAATCTAGAAAACCAACAAAGAAGACCTTGAAAGAAAATCCTATTCAAAACAATATCAACTTTAAGTAACCAAAACAAATTATTACATATCACGCAGGGCTTTAATCAATAAAAAGTTTATTATTATACTTTAGTTATAAAATTTGACGTGTTTAATTTTTATCAATAATTTTAAATATACAAAAAAATTTGATTTTCTAGATAATTATTTTGGATCATATTGAAATTAAAATATCCATTATTTTATAACCTAAGTCTTTATTGCTAGAACAATCGGGTTCTGAGAATTATTTATCGAATAATAACAATCAAAATCTCAGAACCTGATTTTCCTTCCACATGGTTTGAAATTCGAAGTTCAGTTAACTGAAACCGCAGTTAGTCGTTGACTAAATATTATGTGAAACTAGCCAATATTTTTTCCCCTTCCAATGAAATATCATTGATTTTTTATGATATAATGCTAAATCAAAAATGAATATCGCAACTTGATCAGTAAATAGCATGATTAATATTAATGATGATCTTTTTAAAAAAAAGTTACCACTAATGCATTTAACATATACCATATATTATTATTATAGTAGAAATAAAAATGAAAAAAAGGTTATAAAAATTGAAATGGATTTGTTATAAAGATACTCTAATATTTTAAAATATCATTTAAATACTAATATAATATATTTGTTATAAAGATACTCTGATATTTTAAAATATCATTTTAAATCCTAATATAATATATTTGTTATTAAGATATTCTGATATTTTAAAATATCATTTTAAATCCTAATATAATTAATATGAAAAACCATAAAATTATTTTAATTATATATTTATTAAAAGCAATGTAAATTTAACTGAATAAAAAGATATTTTTATTTAAAAATAAACTTTAGTAAAATTAAATCTTATGTTTTGTAAATATTAAACAAAGTATTCTATAATATATAATGATAATTAGTTTTATTAATTTTAATATAATAAGTGCATTTATATATTTTATATTAATTATTGAATTATAAATATTAATTATAAAATTTATAATAATTATACACTTTAAATATACTATTTATTATACATTAAGTAATATACAAAAAAAATAAAAAAATAAAAAATTGCTTTAATTTTATAATTAATATATCAATTAAAATATTTAATAAATCAGTAGATTTATTAAAAAAAAATTAATATATTATTCATTTATTATTTTTTACAATAATTTTATTATAATATCAATATCTTAATTTTTAAAATTAATTTTTAAAACTATTTAGATTTTTTTAATAAATTTTAAATTTAAATTAATTTAATCTATAATTTTAATAATATAAATTTTAAATTATATAACAATATATTTAACATCATTTTTTTATTTTTATAATATTTTTAAATCAAATTATAATAAGAGTATTTATTAAACTTTTAAGCAATTATTTATATAAGTAATTTATATATTTTTTTTAATAAAGTAATTAATTTTTTATAACATTATATATATTTTAATTTAATATAAAAAAAAATTATAATAGATATTATATAGTATATTAATTAAAATGAATAGATAAAAAAAGATTTATTTTTATAAATTAAATAAAATAATTTATATAATATTAAATTTTAAAATCTATAGCATATTTAAATTAAATTTTTATTATTAAAAATTATAAAATTATAATTTATAAAAATTAGTTATTTATTAAATAAATTTATATTTTTTAAATTATAAAAAGCATTATTTATTGATTTTTTTAAAAAAAAAATTATTTTTTTAATAATTAAAAAATTATATTATACTAATATAATATAAAATTATAATGATAATATAATAGAAATTTAAATATAATTTAAAAGTAATAAATTTGCTATATTTTTAAATATTTATTTTTTTATTTTTTCAAAAATAATAATTTTTTTATATAATAACTTTAAAGTTTAAATAAATTACTTTTAAAATTTTAAGTAAAGTAATTTATTAAATTTAAAACTACCTAATTTTAAAATTTATTAATATTAAATTAAATTCATAAAATAAATAATGTTTTACATAATGATATAATTTCTAAAATTTCTTTTATTTAATAAATTCAAAGTATATTAATAAAGTAAATACTTGTATTAATTTAAATAAAAATATATAATAGATTTAAAATTATAATATATATATATACCAACTTAGTTTTAATTAATTTTAATAAATTTAACTTATTATTTTTTGTTTAAAAAAAAATAATAAATGTAAAATATAATTATAGACAATTAAAATAATTTAAAATAAATAAATCATATTTTTAGATTTTTATATAATAATTTTTAATAAAACAATAATAATTTAAAATTTTAATAATTTTATTATTAAAATAATATTTTTAATTATTTTATATAATATTATAATTAACATTTTTATTTTTAATTAACTAATTTATATTTTTATAATATTAAATAATATAAGCTATTTTATAAAAAATTGCAACTATAATTTTTTTTTTATTTTATAAAAATTAAATATCAACTAATTGTAAAATTAAATTAAAAACTTGTTAATATAACAACATTTTTAATTGCAAATTCTACTACTTATTAAACCTTTTTAATACATATTTATACAATAAAATGCTTTTATTATATATTTATAAATAGTTAAAAATAAATAAAAATAAGTTCTAAATAATAGTATTTTATAATTCTATGATTTTAAGCTTATAAGTAAAATTCTAAATAAAGACTTAAAAATAAATACAAAATATAATTAAATTATACTATGCTTATAAAAAAAAATTAAAGTTTAAAGATCAAATTAATTATAATACTAGAAAATAGAACTATTATTAAATTTAAAACGATCTTAACTAAAAAATTACATTAGTATTTACTTTATCTAAACTTTTATATAATTATAAAGCTAATTAGCATTAATTTTAATTATTGAGCAAATAAATATCTGAATATTTTATATTACCTTGCATAGTATTATATAGTTTTTTATTTTATTCTAAACTAATAAATCTAGTAATAATATTTATAGAATATAAATATCAAATCTTAGTAAATAATCTTTATAATTTTAGAAATACAAATTTTTCTTATATAAAGGATAATTACTTTACAGCATATGTTACGATAATGTATTTTATAAATAGTTTGCTACAGCTATTAACATTTAATATATTATATACTTTTAATGATAAATAACATATTTTCATAATGTATGTATGTATTATATCTAATTTAAGTAATAATTAATGAAAATATAAATAAATCCTTTATATCTTTACTTTTAATTATATAAATTATAAGTTAATAATCTATAATTGACTATTTATTTCATGATTCAGGAGTAGTTAAAATAAAAATTGTATTTAGTAGATTATGAAGACTCTGTTCTAATCTAAAATAGACACATGACTTTAAAAACTAATAAGGCTAATACATTGAAGATGCAAGTGAATCTTTAGGAGTAAGTATATCAGCAAATGTATTATCTACATTTTAATCTAATCCAACTTATGACCACGCTTATTTTCATAACAAGATATTTAATCAATATCCTAATTTATATAAAAAATTCAATAGTAAAAACTTTGATTATTATGAAATTATCAATGAGAAATTATACCTATTATACAAGTTAGAATATGGGTTGATTGCTAGGAAAATCAGGTTCCGGAAATTTTTTAGCAAAATTGAGATTTTTATTGCATTTTAGTTTTTGATGTTATTAGATTAAAATGTATTAAGCTCTTAATTTTAGTCAAAAATTTCTCAGAACCTGATTTTCCTAGAAATACTCCCATATGATGATGAGGAGAGTATAGAAGGTAAATATAAGGCTGGATTCTATTTTAGTAAATATAATCAGTATAAAATTGAAATAGTTACATAATTTCATTTCCTTATTTCTTATATTACTGATACTTTAAAAGTTGATATAACTGTTTTTTAAAAATATAGTAAAAAATAAGGAATATTAATAAATTCTTCATTTGAAAATTTTAATCTTTTTTTGAATAAATACAAGAAAAAAGTGATTTAAATTGATTTTTAATTATAAAAAAAAGCAATATGACTGAATCTGATAAAATATTAACTCTTAAATACCTGAATTGATATATCAAATTAATTGAATTACCAAGCATTTTGACAAATAAGATTCATTTTAATTTATATAAAAAATATAAAAAAAAAAATCAGGTATGAGCTATAATAATATCAAAATATATGTCAAATATATCAAAAAGTCTCAAACTTCTAATTTCAAACCTATCACTAATTTGACCTAGAGCTAATTATCAAATCTGTATTAGAGTATTTCACATATCTGAAATTTTGAAATAGTTTTAGGAAAATTGATAATTATAATTTTGCATTATTTCAACTATAAAGTTCATCATGTCCTATTTATAATGGAAAACATAGGAATTATGGATTATATGGTAAATAATATAAAAATGAAATAGAATATTGTCTTATCTGTAATAGTTCAAACAATAAATTCAAGTTTACAATTGTAGCATAAAAATATCATTATTTACAACCAGTTAGTTTTACATATATTTATTTTTTTATTACTTACATGTATTAATAAAATACTTTCTTTATATTTTTCATATGGTTTAAATAAGTAGTGATGTTAGAGACTGCTAACTATCAGTTTATGATCTCAAATTTTAGTTCTTTTTTTTATATTAAGTCTTTAAAAGTTTTTTTAGGACTGTTGTGCCAATTTTGACTGCATTCTTATCTAGACGATATGTATTAATCACTTTTTTTCAGTATATACTTAATATAGGTTGATTACTAAGAAAATCAGGTTTTAGGATTTTTTTAACAAAATTGAGACCTTTATTGCATTTTAGTTTTTGATGTTATTAGGTTAATATGTATTAAGCTCTTGATTTTAGTCAAAAATTTCTCAAACCCTGATTTTTCTAAAAACCTTCCCACATATAGATTAATGTTAACTGTTAATGATTAAACTGATGTCCCTTTGTTGATAGGTAACATCTATTATAAATTTAAGGAGGCGAATTGATTTGATTCTTGTGATGTGATCATATTAAATCAATCCTTAGGTATATTGCAAATTATATAAAAAGGTGAGGCCTTAATAAACCTTTTTATTCGCTTTGCGCAAATAAAATAAAAATTGATCAAAACTAATCAAAGCAATCTAAACAGTATCTAAACATACCATTATTTAATATACTAATACTTGCTCTTAAACTGTGTATATTTCAGTTTGCAGAACTTAATCCTTTATGTAGTCTAAGTGATATAAATAGACAGAAATTCCGTTCCGCTTCTCACATATATGTTTGAAACCAGTGAAAAATTAAATCATGTGTGTGTTCCATTTTGAAACGGAGATTTTGTAATCAAATTTATATTGGTAAGACTATATTATCCGAAAGAAATGAGCAGACAGACATATAGGCAGGATAGATTATTTCGGTATTCCGGTGAATTAAATGGTTTAGGATAGCATTTTAGGACTGACTTACATAGCGTCACCACCAAAAAATGGTAGCCGGATTTTATTTGTCGGGTATTTGTTATTAGGATTAGTATTAGAGTTATTTCCCTCCGCGTTTCATTTTTACCAAGTATTTTGGGGACAGAGAATTTTTCAATACATACTATACGTCACATGTGCGCCACACAATTAATTCCAGCCAAATGCCGTGGTGCCGGCCATTTCGTGATGGGTACGCAGGGGAAGTCCGCAGTCACGCTTTCTATGATCATTAAGCCGCCAGAAGTGATAACAAAAAACTTCGGCAAGTTCTTGATTAATACAATCGCATTACATAATCATCACGTGCACAATACAATTATAACTTATGTCGCATAAAATATTAAAAGCATATTTTCCAACATCATTAACAAATCACAAGCTCAAAACTTTATTAATTTTGATATACAATAGCTAATATATAAGACAGATATTTTATTAATTATTTCGCAGTTTGACATATATTCAAGACCTGGATTAGCTTCGTCAATAAAATCATCAGAAAAGTGAATAAATTATATATTAGAATCGTCCATACCATAATAGACATTCCCTTTGACATTGCGGGTTTTACTAACAAGTTTATTAAATTTGGGAGTATCTAGCGTTTTCCTTTTAAATGATGACTTCGTCTTTAATGGACATAAACCTGGATTTTTAAGGTTACTGATAAAAGTATCATAAGATTCCAATAAGATACTCCGTATATTTAACAGAACATAAAGTTCATCTATCAAAGTAAATAAGTCTCTAATAGTCGCAGGTACCGATATCTGTTCAATATAATTCATTGCGTATATTCCATCCCCTTTTAGATCAAGCACATAAAAATCTATTTTATATCCAATACATTGAAAACCTAATATCTTGATCTCTGCTTTTCGAGAAATTGCTGAATCAACACAGTCCTTCATGAAAATTCCAATTCTGATTAGGTCAAGACGATTTTTGAAAACGTTATTTTTCTCAGCTGGTCCGGTCACTTCACCCACATAGATTACATTTGCTGATTGAGATTGATAGTTAACTGAAACAACAAAGTCTGGCTGTTTCGCCCTTAAACCATCAAATTTCGTTACTTTACTTTCCGATAAGGTTGTGTTTGACCATTGTACTATATGGTTGTCAGGAACATGGAATGCATTTTTCATGATGCTGTCTAAATAATTTGTTATTAGGGTTAATTCGCTCGGATCATTTCTTATCTTTTCATATGGCAGAGTTCTTATCAAATCTTGGATCAAAAATCCGAAATTATCCATCATTTCACTTTTTTCTACAAGCTTCCTACAAAGTAATTTGATACCATTGATGCGCGATTCGTCCAGACATGTTTTGATAACACTTCTATATAAGTTCTCAATCTCTATATCTAATCGTAGAGTTAATTTCGGTGTATATTTTTGATGAGTTAGTTCCAATAAATCTAAACCAAACACTTCAACCATTTTAATAGGGTAGGAGTTCGGTATGAGAACGAGTATAGATGACAACGATAAGATTTCGTGAATGTGTGACTCAACATATAAGCCCTTTTCATTAGCGTGTAATATCGCTTCATTAATGAATGTTCTAAATTTATCGGATATATTAACGCCATTTACAAATAAATCGGATTCCAAACTCTCCAATGGTGTAAAACTCAGAGGAACATTAGTAATAACATCGTTTTCGTCTTCAGCATCATCAACGAAAGGATTTTCAGGAGAATATGGTGTGGGAGATTCATATTTATTATCTTGACTTGAATCATCAGAACTAATATACGAATCATCCCTTGATTCTGAATCGCCTTCATACCTTTCCTGGTAAAAAAAAAAAAAATGAACAATCAATCAAAACATAAGACATTGTTGTTGGGCTATACATTAAAACGATGAAAAATGCAACTACCTTGACTTCTGGATTTTGGGATGGATTGCTATTTACTTTTTCTATTTGGCGTTGACGTTTGTTTTCGTTTTCCACAAACTTGATCTTCATGATATCGTTTATTTACAATGAAAATAACTTCATCGGAACTACGAAACCTTGTTTCATTAATAACTTTCACGCCCTCTATTACATAATTTTTCTCAGTATCTCTCTATTTTGGCAGGTTAAAGAATATAATCAACAAAAAATTACTTTTTTGGATAAATCCTTGAAAAATGTTAATGTTAGAATGCTAACCTTTACACGTTCAAGAATAATTTCTTGAAAAAAAGGCTTCATTTTTTGACGTTTATCATTTTCATCCTATAACAAATAATATATATTTGTTTAACAATAATATAAGTCGCAATGAGAGAGCACCGAAAATTGCAGCAAAACTTTTGAATCGGACTATATCATGAATATAACTACAACACAGAAGCGCATCGCTTGGGCGCGGAACACTTCCGGATCGGACTATATCATAAATATAACTACAACCCAAAAGCGCTCTTTACTCATCACTTGGGCGCCGAAAACTGCGGCAAAACCTCTGGATCGGACTATACCATAAATATAACTACAACCCAGAAGCGCCCTTATATTGATAAGTTAATAAAGTTTCGTAGCATGAAACCTTTTCTTACCTTATTAGCATGATAGATATATCTCCTATACCATGCAACCATCTAAGCCACTCCAGTCATCAGAATATGGTGGTGAAATTATGATTGTTTCTCTTATTTCGTTTAAAAAATGTTTGTAGGTCCATGTTTCTCTATCGTTAGTTTTGAAATATTCTAAAACAACTGGAGAAGTCCATGTAAGAGGATCAATTTATTGCCCGAGAACAAAACTAAAATCAAGCTTACCGTTTATTCCAGCATAGGGTTCCATTTTTTTTCGTTTTTGATTCGGTTACAGTTTTTTGTCGTGCAATCTTTTGTAGCGGAGAAAAAATTTACCACGTTATGATCATATGATGTCGTCATAGGCAAAAAATCATGTGCGTGTGACGCCGAATTGTCTATGCTTCCTGAGTAATGTCTATAATTCGTAAATCTCCACGTTGTAATTGAGTCACATGATCAAAGTCAGGTGATCCTAGGAAATAACTTTCACACTTTACGGGAAGGCTTCGTTCAAGTATTTCGTTGTAAAAAATTTCATTTTATTAAAATTTTAGATAAACTTTACAATATTTCGATTAACAAAATTATTAATATAAACTATATAAACTATCAGGAGCTTCCAAATCTCGATCTAAGTGAATCGATTGATTCCCTGTCAGATTCCCTTTTAAAATTAATTAAATCCCGTGTAACCGTAAGAATCCAATATGCATTTTATATCATTCGATGTTATTTTAAAAAATTGTACTTGTGTTGCCGGAATTCTACAACCGAAAAACAAAAGCCTCAAAGAAAATTCTTAGCTAATTATATATAAATATTACGCAGCCTTTTTACGCCTTTTTCATCCTTTTTTGTCAAACGAAAGAAAGTATGAAAACTCCAAGGTTAAGTAGTACTCGAAGTGGTTTTAAGAAAAGGAAGGAGCTTCTTTTTTTTGTTTGTTTTACCGAACGACTAACATAACGATCATTTCATAGTTCAAAGTACGTTAAAGGAAGAAAAAAAAGGGGTTAAATATATATATAAAAAAAAAAAAAAAAAAAAAAAGTGATAATGATTGGGCTAATGAATGACAAAGTGGGGTCATGTAATATAAAAAAGGGTTCCTGCAAGTATTTGGAATTCCAAGCCAACGTTGGTTCAAAAGATGAAGAAACAGTGGGTCTTTATATACTTCTTCAAGTCCTATCCCTTACTTTCCAAAAATGAATAGGTAAGCTGTACAAACTTGATTGTGGTTGGGTGTACATAAAGTACCCCATTTTATTTTACAATATATTACTAATATAAATTACATATAATAAATTCTAATATGTATTGTTCAATCATTCAATCAGTCTATATTGGTCATTGAGTCAGCTTTTTTTTTTCATTTTTATACATTACTCATTTCTTTTTTCTGATGAACACTCATAATAATCACTATATAAACATAAAAATTCCATAACGCAACAATAATTGTTGTCAGGTTTATATACTTCTTCCCCAGACTACATATTTTTTTTTCTACCTTTCTCTGGGAAGCTAAGAGATTAAAAAAGCATTTTTTTTTTTCTTCTGGTTTCATTCAACCCATTCATTGTCGGTCTTAAAATAGAAGTATTTTCTTATTTATTAAGATCAAAAAGTCGATATGAATGGACATCAGTTTGCTTACTCGTCAGCGCCTGTAAGGCGAGTTAAATATGTACAATTTGGAATTTTATCACCAGAAGAAATTGTATGTTGTGGATTTAAAACTTTTCTCGTTGCTTTTCTCCAGTCTTAAATGTAATTTTTTTTCTTTTTTATTATTTTGTTTCTATAGAAACAAATGTCGGTTGCTCTAATTGAACATCCTGAGACAATGGATGAAACTGGGCACCGGCCAAAACAAGGCGGTTTACTGGATCCTCGTATGGGTACTATAGACAGGAACTTTAAGTGCCAGACATGCAGTGAAGGCATGTCCGAGTGTCCAGGCCACTTTGGACATATAGAACTAGCTAAACCAGTATTTCACATCGGTAAAGTATTTATAATTATTTTATTTTTATGATACATTTTTCTTTCTTTCATCTATATTAATAGATACAAAAAAAAAGAATACCTGTATATTTAAATCTTACATATGAACATATGGTCCTTTTTGTTCGCCAAAAAAAAAATTTCCCTAATTTTTTTTTTTTTTGTTTGAATGCTTTGCTTAAATGATTTCGTCATTTGTGTATCGTTACACGATATTCATTTTTATCACTTAATATCGCTGACAATTCTAACAATTTATTTGCAATTCGTCAAATTTAAACAGGATTTCTACCTAAAGTCAAAAAGATCTTGGAATGTATCTGCATACATTGCTCAAAGTTGAAGACAGACGACGTGAGTTGTCTTCTTTTGTCTTTGTGGGGTATTGGTTTAATTTGTAAATCAATTTCACACTTTTATCAGTTTAATATTGATTCTTATACTTTTCAATTGTATATATTTTTTTTTCGCGTTTCATTTGTACATATTAAAATAAAAAAAAAAAAAAAAAAAAAAAAAAAAAAAAAAATGTCTTTCAAATGTTTTTCTTTGTGTATAAAATCTTCCTTATCTATCTTTCCATCTTTCTATATATTTTTCTATATTTTACTTTACATACTTATATGTAGTCCAATGCAAAATTCGCGGTAGCACGCAAGATTCGTGATCCTAAACGTCGTCTCCGTGCAGTATGGGATATCTGTAAATCAAAGACGATATGTGAAAAAGGAGAAGAACAAGAAAATGACCCAGATAAAACTTCGGATTACGAAGATGATTATATTCCTAACGGCCAAAATAAACCAATTCCTCAAAGAACTACCACACCTGCAGAAGATTTAGGTTTAATAAAAGTAAAGAAACCTCATGGTGGTTGCGGTGCTCGTCAACCTACTATTCGCAAAGATGGTTTGAAATTATATATGAATTATAAAGCTCGAGATTCTGAAGTAAGAAATATAATTGATTTACTAATCGAAATTTCTTAACGAGTATCATTTAATCACTTATAAATCTATTATTTCATGTAGGAACAAACAGGCCAAGAGACCAGACAGGTACTTACACCAGCACAAGTATATACCATATTTAAGAAAATATCATCAGAAGACTTGATAGATTTGGGATTAAATGAAGAATATGCTCGTCCTGATTGGATGATCATAACATGTCTTCCTGTCCCTCCACCACCTGTTCGCCCGAGTATTCAAATGGATGGAACGAGCAGAGGTGAGGACGATTTAACACATAAATTGGCAGACATTTTGAAAGCAAATCAAAATTTACGCCGTTATGAGTCTGATGGCTCTCCGGCTCACGTTGTTAGTGAATTCGAATCTTTATTACAGGTGTGTATTTATTTATCTATTTAATAGTTTACATGGTAATATTATTTAAATGTTTTTAAATTTATTGCCTTTTCCTTTAGTTTCATTGTGCAACTTATATGGATAATGAAATGGCTGGTCAACCACAAGCATTGCAAAAATCTGGTAGACCTTTAAAATCAATTCGAGCACGTCTTAAGGGTAAAGAAGGACGTCTTCGTGGAAACTTAATGGGTAAACGCGTAGACTTTTCTGCTCGTACGGTTATCACGGGGGATCCTAACATATCAGTAGATGAAGTCGGAGTTCCGAAAAGTATAGCGTCAAATTTGACTTTCCCTGAGATAGTAACACCATTCAATGTTGATCTATTACAAGAGCTTGTAAAAAACGGTCCTACAGTACACCCTGGAGCTAAATATGTCATTAGGGATACCGGAGAACGCATAGATTTGAAACATACTTCAGGAACAAATGTAGTACGATTACAAAACGGTTGGAAAGTTGAACGACATATCAATAACGGTGATGTAATTATATTTAACCGTCAACCATCTTTACACAAAATGTCAATGATGGGTCATAAAGTTCGAGTAATGCCGTTTTCAACTTTCCGTCTTAATCTCTCCGTAACATCACCATATAATGCTGATTTTGACGGGGATGAAATGAATATGCATGTACCACAATCAGTAGAAACTAAGGCTGAAATTAAAGAAATATGTATGGTGCCAAAGCAAATCGTATCGCCTCAATCAAATAAGCCAGTTATGGGAATTGTCCAGGACACGTTATGTGCTATTCGTAAATTTACCAAAAGAGACTGCTTTCTATCTAAAGATTTGGTAATGAACATTTTAATGTGGGTTAAAGATTGGGATGGAAAGATTCCAATTCCATGTATCTTGAAACCAATACCATTATGGACGGGAAAGCAAATTTTGAGTATGATTATTCCCAAAGGTATAAATTCGGACAATTTGCGTCATTCTACTCATCCTGACGGTGAAAATACAGACATGTCACCTGGAGACACAAAAGTTTTGATTGAAGATGGGGAATTATTATGTGGAATTGTTTGTAAAAAGACGGTTGGCACCGCACAACAAGGTTTAATTCACGTAATTATGCAAGAATTGGGTCCAAATCGGGCAAAAGACTTTTTGAATGGATGTCAAGCTGTTGTTAATTATTGGCTTTTACAAAATGGATTTAGTATTGGTATTGGTGATACTATCGCCGATAAAGATACTATGGATAGTATTACACAGACTATTAATAATGCTAAAGAACGTGTAAAGGAAGTCATCTTATCCGCTCAACAAAACAAATTAGAATGCCAACCTGGTATGACAATACGTGAATCCTTTGAAAATCAAGTTAACAAGGAACTTAATACCGCTCGTGACTCTGCTGGTCGTAGTGCTGAGAAAAGTTTAAGTGAAGATAATAATGTTAAGCAGATGGTAATAGCAGGTTCAAAGGGTTCTTTCATTAATATCTCTCAGATGACAGCTTGTGTTGGACAACAGAACGTTGAGGGCAAACGCATACCTTATGGTTTCAAATTCCGTACATTACCACACTTCACAAAGGATGATCATAGTCCAGAAAGTCGAGGATTTGTAGAAAATTCTTATTTACGCGGCTTGACGCCACAAGAATTTTTCTTCCACGCAATGGGTGGTCGTGAAGGTAAATAAGATTTGTTATATTATTGATTAAATAAATTTATGTGATTAAAGCTTATTATCAATTGTTTTCTATTAGGTTTAATCGACACGGCCGTAAAGACCGCCGAGACAGGGTATATCCAGCGTCGTTTGGTAAAAGCATTAGAAGACGTAATGGTTAAATATGACGGGACTGTTCGTAATTCTCTTGGAGATATTCTTCAATTTTGTTATGGAGAAGATGGAATGGACGC